CGCTGCTGGCTCCCGGCGGGCAGGGGGGGGCCATGGTTCCCCGCGCCGCCAGGGGGCGCTGTGCCGCAGCTCGGGCTCCACACGGCCATGGCGGCCGGGCTGCAGGGCCAAGATGGGCGGCAGCGGGAACCTCGGAGCGGGGCTGGGACGGCAGGCCGGGCTCGCCCAGGGCAGCGAGCAACAGGCGGCCGGCACTCGGCAGCTGCAGCTGGAACTGTGCGCTGTCTCGGCAGGCAGGGAGTGCGGGCTACAGTGCAGCAAAAACCCGGAGTATGGGCAGGAAAAACGGCGGGGGCTGAGCAGCAGCAGCCCGGCTCCCGAACAGGGCCGGGAGAGGCTCCCGGGGAGGGGAAAGGAGCTCGGGGATGCCGGGGTTTCCCCTGAGGCACCCCGGCAGATGCTGAAAGTCCCTTTTTTAGTGAGGCAGGGTGTTAATAAGGTCCCAGTGCAATGGCCGCTCTTACAATCAGAGCTGTAACTTTACACGGTAGAGGAAAGGCACAAGACAGAACCCGCAGTGGTGGGGAACTCTCCCCGCAGCGACCGCAGCGTCTCCCCCAGGAATGCTGAGAGAACAGAGCCAGCAGCTGCCCCAGCCACTTTGCTTCCCAGCCCAATTCTCCCAGTATCTCTGAAGGAGAGAAACCCTCAGGTAAGAGTGCAGCCAGGTGCTCTCCTACCCTGAGCTTGGCAACTTCTGTTGTCTCTCCTAAGTACCTGGTCGTTCTGGTTTCTAAGCAACAAAATGGGAGAATATTCCCAAAGAAAAAATAAACAAAAGGAAAACCCCTAACCTCCAACAATATGGCATGTTTATTTTAGAACAATTCGGTTGCAGTGCAAAAGAGGTATGCAGCTATTCCGGTTATTATCTACACTAACAATACAGGAGTACAAATACGTCATTTAAGAAAATATATAAGGAAAAGAAAGAAAGGGGAAAAAGGATAAAAGTAGATAGTGGAGAGTAAAAATATCACCACCCATGGATCCAGCAACAAGACTTGATTGTTACAATTTAGATATCCATTGGTCAAAGTGATGGTCACCGTCCTGATCTGTCAGGGGTCGGGGAAGCCCGTGAAACAGAGTTCAGTGGGTTAGTATAAGTTCAGCCCAGGTGGGCATGTGATAAATGTGATTTGTGCTAACTAAATTTTAACTATATTAGCAAAATTGTACTCATATCAATAGAAAATAATTGTTACAAAGCAAAAAAGGAAATGGCGAGACAAAGCAGATGGAATCCTCCAGATGTTAGGTGGGAGTAGTAGAAGGATATAGGTTTGATAAGCAGCATCTAGAAATATAAAGTTTCGACCTTGGAATGGGCCAAATTGGGATGATTCCAGACATGGAACTTGAATAAGGTTTTATAGCGGGAACATATGCTTAGTTACATAACCCCAAGTTTAGTGAACTCGCACTTCCTGCAAGGTTACACAGCGGACAAAGAGCTTTCATGGGAAATGAGACCCCTAACTACTAGTAGAGCATGCACCATACAACACAGCGACATAGATTTTAGGAATAGAAACTAGGAGGAGCTTTCCAGAAAGTTCTGTATTAATATGTATTAGCATATAGTATATAACTGGGATTTTTAGCTTGATTGCTTGGTACATGAGGAAGGGCAGGCCCCTCCCCGTACCCCTGGTCGGTTTTGCTTATGTTTTATACAAACCTCAGTTATAACTCAATTACTGCCAAATTTTGTATATACTCATATATACGTATTTCATACACTTTGTATTCATTTATATACTATTGTTGCTATTAAAAAAATTGTTGCCAAATTTAATCTTGTTGTCCGATAAATTGTACAATAGAACGTCATTCATAACAGGAACAGCCAGATGTCTTCCCTGAAAGGAGATTTACAGTGTCTGCAGCAACACAGCTGGTCATGCACAATCTAGCTGTCCTCACTAGTTTATTACTACATTCAACCAAATGAACCAGAACACTGATTTCCATGGAATGAATTCCATGTGTTCTTCCTGGCATTAAAGGAACAACATTGGTCAATCCTATTATGAGTCCCTCTTCACCCAGAATTGTTGTGTTTTTTTCTTTAATGGTTTGTTCCTGTTCCCCCCATGTTGTTGTTTTAGCCTAAGCTGTGCCCTCCTAACCAATTGCTTGTCATACCCAAAGACCTGCCCCTTGTGGAATGTTCTCTGCCCTTCCCCCTTGCCAAGCTGTCAGTCCCTCCTTGTGCCAACCCTCTGCTTGGAAATCCTCTTTGTAAATCCCCTAATCTTCAAAGCTCCATTGGTTTATCGAAATTGTTCCCTTCCCCTGTGTTTTCTCATTGGGTTATGTATTTAAACCCCACCTTGTGCTCCTCCCCAGCCTTCCCCCCATTGGTTGAGAAGTTGTACCCCCCTAGAATCTCCCCTGTATAAGAAGTCCCTGCACACCCAGTATCTTTTGTCTTTCGTCCCTGGGCCCTCCTTGGTAATAAACCTCACTGGAAACCATACAGAAGACCCCTCCCTCATCCCTGCCTCTGCCTACACCTGATTAGACCATAGTGCCATGGAGCCTCTCCCCAGCTAACCTGTATCTCAGATCTCTGTTTCTGGGAACAGCCACTCCTTGCCACGGGTGTCAGGAGCTAGAGGGTTAAACCAGCACTGCATCACAGAATAAAAAGTCTCGGGACCAGAAATAAAAGTCAACTCGACAAGCCAGAGTTTAGGAATGTGTCGGTAACTTTTTCCTCAGAAAATTACAAATACACAATCTTTTCAGAGGAACACAAGCTTCAATCAAACTTCTATGAAAAGGTTCTCATGTCCTGATGGATAACAAAAAAGGCTACCAGTAGTGGTACCTCAGTTGTCCCTAGGGTCCCCTATACCAGGCTGTTCAGGAGACAAAGTTTTATGCCATCTAATATACGTTACGAAATTACAAGTCTATTTTTTTTGTTTAGCTACTGTTTTTGTTCCTTTAAAATGCTTTGTTGCATTTTGTCATCTTAAATGCCAACTTAAACAAGCAGAAAAAAAATGAGGTATATTTTAAAAAGGAGTCTGAAAGCTGTTCCTTATAGTGAGATACTGAATGAAAGACTTGTACACTAACAACTCAGCTACATGAAATAGTCACTATGCAGATGTTTCTCTCAAGCACCTCACATACCAAACCTTTGGTAAAAGAAGACTGCAAACAAAGAACTGGCAACACAACCCATGATACCCAAAATGTTTTGTGATTAAAAACATGGTTGTGAAGCCAAGAGAGGCTATTAAGGTTATATGCCCATACAGATGTACAATTATATGCCAAGCTCTCTTTAACAGTAGGCTGACAGGCTTCTGCAGCAATTCTTTGTTGTCAGCTGGAGCTGTTCTTTGCTAGCAGCTGTGCTGTTGCACACAGGGCCACTAATATGATTAGAGAGATGGAACAACTCTCCTACGAGGAAAGGCTGAGAGAACTGGGATTGTTCAGCCTGGAGAAAAGAAGGCTTCAAGATGACCTAATCGTGGCCTCTAAGAACCTGAAGGCAGCCCACGAAAGAGCTGAACAGGGACTTTGAACAAGGGCCTGGAGAGAAAGGACATGGGGCAAGGGCTTCACACTGACAGAGGGCAGGATTAGACTGGATATTTTGAGGGTGATGATGCCTATATACACAGATTGAGTTATAAAATACCAATATAACCTGATATATCTATATAACCTGAATTATGGCTTTTTATACCTATATAACCTGATATAAATTACTTTCTATACAATGTAATGGCTAGTATACGGTTAACTAATTGCTTAATGCTGAAAAGACAAAAAAAGAAGAAAAAATCACCAGGTAGATAGCTTTAGAGATAGATAAGTATAGTACTAAAGAAAAACTGGCAAGGGCAAAGCCAATTAGCCACAAAATAAAGCAATTAGGACCAGAGAAATCAAGGAACACTGTAACTGTGCATGCTCCGAAGACAAAGTTGAAAAGTTCAGATGCCAAGAAGACCTTGGAAGCCTTCATCAACCCCCAAAGACCCCCGAACTGGGGAGGCACAAGCGCAGTGCAAAAGAACTATCTAATAACCATGAGCTCATACTGTGTAAATTAGTTCTGTCAGGTATGTGATGATCTCACAGTGACATAGTAACATTAAGCAATACTTACTGTAAAAATATACCACAGCACTTGATAAAAGTGGGTGAGTTTGGTGGAGATATCCTCCTCACCACCAGCACTGCAATAAATAAATACCTGCTTTATGGGGATTTATTTTAGTCTGTGGGGATTTATTTCCGGCCTATGTTTCAGGCAGCAGTGGTGAAGACCTGGCACAGGTTGCCCAGAGAAGCTGTGGCTGCCCCATCCCTGGAAGTGTTCATCATCAAGCTGGGATGCGCTAGGACAGACCTGGTCTAGTGGAAGATCTAGTTAGAACTACAGGATTTTTAAACTCCTTTCCAATCCAAAGCTTTCTGTGATTCCATCGTTTCTACCCAGCGGCATGCAGCCTGTGCGCTAGTGCCTGCCCTGGGTGCCGTGGAGGCTCCTCACGTCACGGCCGCGAGGTGCCGTACACAGGACCGAGCCGGACTCAGGCCTGTGGGCTGCTGGCAGCCGCATGAGAACGCCGGGCCCGAGGAGCCGCCGGCCCAGCTCCCCCACAGCCCCTCACACACACCCGCGGCTCCGCTCCGCTCTTCCCCGTCTCTTCCGGGCCCGCCGCCGCCACGCGCAGGGCTCCGGGATGCGCGCGCTGCCCCGCCAGCCAATGGGAGGCGGCGGCGCGGCGGCAGCGCCCCCTCCTGCCAGCGGCGGAGGGAACGGAGCCCCCCGTGCGAGCGGCGCGAGCGCGACCCCGACCGCCGAGCCCCCCTGAGCCCCTCACGGCTCCAGACCTCCGCTACCGCGCGTCACGGCCCGTCCCTCGCCTCACCCCGCCCGGCCCGGCCCGGCCTGCCCTCCTACTCACCCGCCCCGGGCGCAAGCAGCCCGGTCCCTCTGGCTGGAGACGCCGCTCGGCGACGGGAGGACGCCGGGGCAGCGGCGGTTTTTCCGCGGGCTCTCGGCGCTGTCGAGCGGGCCCGCTGCTCCCTCGCGGTGTCGGGCCGAGCCCAGCACCGCACCGGGCGGGGGAAGGTTCGCTCGCGCAGCCGCGGCGGCGCAGGCGCTCGCGGGGGCCGCCGGGAGTCGCAGTCTCGGGCCGGAGCTCCCGCCGGGCAGCGCGCCAGGGGCTCGGGCCGGGCGTGCCCAGCGTGCCCTGCCTGCGGCCGGACAGGCAGCGAGGCGGGACCCGGGACCCGGGGCGTTTCCATTGGGCCCTGCTCGCTCTATTGGCCCCGCTGAGCAACCAGAGCTGCTCTCCGGAGTCGACGATGGCAGCAGCAGCCTCCACCAGAAAAAGCCTTACTTAGGGTTAATCAGGACCTTCATAGCAAAGCAGTGTCAGGAAAATTAAGCCACAAACACCAGAGGTTTATGTCCAAAAAGGAGACAGAGGATTCATCTTTATTCGAATAAAGACAGAGGCCATGGGGCATTCCCCTGAGATCCCTCACATTTTTGGAGGACAGGTCCTCATTTTTATCCCAATTTCCCGGCCACATGTCCCTCTCCCCATTGGCTGAGGTACTTGAGAGGTACAGACTTCCCAAACCCCTGATACCTATGATTCCCCTCGAATATATGACCTTCTCTTTTAATTTTTAATTCTTACAGAATTCACGATTTTCCCCCATTGCTTCTTTCATCTTTCAATATCCAATTTCATTTATCAGCAAACCTACAGCTTGTTTGTAAAGGCCAATGTCTTCTTTTCCATTCATCAATCAGTGGAATCTTTCCCATTGTTTCTTTTCTCTCTAGGTGCTAGTCTTATCTACCAGCAGATCCACAGCTTGTTTGTAAAGACAAATCCCTCATTCCTGTCATCAGTCTTCCATTTCATTTCTAAAGATGTTAAGCATAATGGATGCTATCTGTAAGATCTTTTTTCCTGGCTAAAAAGAGTCAAATGTTTTGTCCAACATCAGTATTCCTTTCCTTTGAATTTAGGTTCAATGTAGTAAATGTGGATGGAAAGTCTTCCATTCAAAGGAAAGTACTACGTTTCAAAATTTTATCCCAATCAAAAGTACTGCAATTAAACCCAAGAGATTTTAAATCAAATACCATTTTCATAAATAACATATTTACAGTGTGTAGACTCCCAAAACTGCTGATGTACTCTCAAAATATTCACAATGTGTTTTGGAGTTGGTCAAGAGTAACCACCAAACATTACATCTTTAAGTAAATTTAATTTGTAAAGAAATGGAAGCATTCAGCTTCCTTCTAGTTGTAGTAAATAGCAAGAAATCTGTCTGGGGAATAACGCTGGGAAGGGGCCCTGCAGGATATGCTTTGGCCATTCTTGTACCATCACTGGAGGCTGTGGACTTGTGCAAAACAAATACCCAGCTGCAAACACTGCCCAGAGTACCCCAAACAACAGATCTGAGTGATTCAAGATATCATGGCTCTTGTGGTTCCTTGTCACTTCGGTTGGACATTACTGTCCTCATCATTTACATTGTGGAAAACAGAAGCATTCTGCAGCAGCCTAGAAACACAGATCTCAACCCCAACCACCAAAACACTTCAAAACCTTAAAAGGTTAAAAATCATCACCACCTTGATGGAAACCAGTAGATTTCACCCTTCAGTACTTGGATGGTTCCTTTTAGCAGACCCTATGCAGGGGAAGGCATAACCACTGGTGAAGAACTTCAGCACAAAGGACACCAAATATTTCTAAGCAGACACAACTATTTACTATATGAATTTGTCAGTTCCTGTGCTGTTTAGATGGTATTTGTAATAGAAGGCATCCATAACATCATGTACCACCACATCTTCCTGCTGCCATCTTCCAGTTGCACCTTACTGCACACACAGCTCATACTGACCATTTCATACAGATTTAGATGTCATAAGTACACCCTGCTCAAAAGTTACTCAAGCAAATCCTTCTGGAAGATCAGAAGTTGAAGGACTCCTCTGTCTCCTTTTTGGACACAAACCTCTGGTGTTTGTGGATTTTCCTGACACCAGGGAATGAAAAAAATCAACTGCTGACCATGTGGCAGGGAGGAGGGAAAAAAAAAGGGCAATGACTTTTGTCTTAGGGAAGAAAAAAGCAAAAGGTTCACGCAGCAGCTTGGGGGAAAAAAAAAGATGGGAACCTGGTGAATCTCTGCTGTTGGTCTCCTGTTGATAGCAGATGAAGCTGGTGGATTTAGGGTCCTTTCTTTTGCTGAGTCAGCTTTCCAGAGTCTGGTGCTGGGATGGAGCAGCCACTCAGCTCCCTGCCAGTCCCTGTTATGATTTGTCTCCCATCGATTCTCTGATCTCGGGCCAAAACCAAACCAAATAGTTAAAGGGGAAAAAAAGGCCATTAACATTAAAGGATTGCTACTGCAGTCTCCAAGGACAGGGAAAGGAAAAATCTTCTTGCCTAGGCTAACAAAAAGTTATGTGGAGGAAGAAAAGCCATTGTCTGAAGGTCACAAAACTCACAAAAACATGAAATAAATGAAAGTCATTGCGCTGTCAAGCAGCTGCCACCCCTTGGAAAGGCTCTACTGTGCACTGTAATGGAGAAAGACCCTGCACAGAAATCAGCACTTCTCACTGGGATTACAGAAAATGTTGGTGTGAGAAAATCCTGCCATGGCCAGGCAGGTGGGGATTGTACAGAAGATCACGCTATGGAAAGCCAGAATCCATAAAGGAGACAGAGGAGTCCTGCAGCTTTATTCAAATAAAGGGAGAGAGGTCTTGGGTGCTTTATCTCTTGAGGTCTTGGAGGGTACAGCCACTTCTTATCCTAAACTCCTGGCTGCATGTTACCCTCTTCCTTTCCCCATTGGCCAGTGTAGTAGGAAAATACAACCTTCCTGAACCTCCTACCATATATGCCCCCTTGAACCTGTGATTTTACCCCAAAGTTTAGAAACTCAGGCTTGTGCAGACCCACTTGTCTGTTTCAGGAGTCAGGCTCTGCAACCTGGGCTGCTTGAAGTTACTAGAGACATTAAGACCCATTTCAAAGACGTTAACACCCTTACCTGCACCCACAGAACTGTTTGCAAAGACATTAGCACACATCTTCCCTATCGCGGTTGATCTGAAGGGCAGCACTGAGCCCTGGCTGGAGCTGCCTGGGAGCTCCTAAGGTAGCCCAACCTTGCCAGAACCGGGATGGAGCCTCTCACAACGTTTGAGCCTCCTTTCCATAAGCTTTAGCCTTGGATAAGCAACTTGCTTTAAGCTCTGTAGGCTACAAAGAGCTACACGGTAATTGTGCAGCCATGCTTGTTTCTGCACTGCTGGAAGGGTCTGGAATCTGCAGGAAGGAATGGGTTGTAATGACCACTGGAAAACAGATTGGAACTTGGTTGCAGCAAAGGCAAGGTCTTACTTTGGCAACAGCTGAACTGTTCAAAAGTATAAATAAACATTATAAAAACCCAAAAGCAAACTACCCAAAGAAGGAAGCAAGACCTTGCTCTTGACTGTATTACTTTCCCAGCCTTTCCCTTGTGTCAGGAGAAGTAGGATCCTGTGGAGGCACCCTCTGGCCCACCGAGCTGCATCCCACAACCTGGGATTCCTCTGAGAAGGCATTGCAAAGGGATGCCTCAAAAATGCATTCAGGCTTCTGAATAAAAGCACAGATGCTGTTTATGCTGTTCTTTAGCATCTCGGTGCACTACATTTTTTAAAATTATTTGAATCAAAGCTCTCATTCTTTAATTAAACTTCATTTAGTTGCCATCTGCCTGGGATGAAAATGGCTTCATGTTTTGCAACTCTTAATGAGGATTGTTATTGGATTTGTAAACACATAAATACCACCCCCAGCCCCCTCCAAAACACCAGAATTTGAAAAGTAATAGATGAGAAACACAGCTCAAGCGTTAAGATCTGCATCTTCACTCATCTAATTGTAATTGTCAGGAAAATTAATCCACCAACACCAGAGGTTTATGTCCAAAAAAGAGACAGAGGAGTTCTGACTTTATTTCAATAAAGGGAGACGCCATGGGGCATTCTTCTGGGATCTTTCAAAGTTTTGGGGAATGCAGCCTCCTTTTTATCCCAATTTCCTGACCACATGTCCCTCTCTCTTTCTTGGCTGGGGTACTTGAGAGGTACAGATTTCCCAAGATGCCTAAGACCTCATTCTAAAGTATTATCCCCCCTTTGTCT